TGTAGAGTGGTGTTTGGTGCATATTTTCTCTCCTTTGCCAACAGCCTGTCAGGAGACAGCTGCGTCCCTGAATGCCAGCCCGGCATGTACCTCAGCAGAGAGGCCAGGAAGTGCGAGGGGTGCCAGGCCAGCTGCCAGACATGTGCAGGTATGTTCACTGCCCGCCAGCCACTCCTTCAAGCAACCGCGGTGCCAGCCCTCTCCGCGCGTGAGCCATTGACACCGCAGACACATTGACGCTTCCTGGGCTCCAGGCGTTGTGGCACCTGTCATGCACAAAGTAAGTGCTTTGTGCCAAGCAGCCCATGAAGGTGAGAGAGAGGGCTCTGCAGCATCTCACTCCATGCAAAACCCAGCTCCACAGCAGCTGTGACCCTGATCTTTGGAGCTGCTGATCCGTGGCAGTCCAGCCTGTTGTGAAGCTGGCTTTTTCATGAGTGCATTGCCCTGGCCCCAGGAGCCTGAAGGCAGCTGCTGGTGGCTACCGTTGGTGTCTCCAGCATGCTTTGGAGCTGCCACTGCTCGGGCGTTGCCAGCCCTGCTGCGATTGCAAGACCATCCCAAGACCATTGTCAAGGCTGCACAGCTCTTGCAGCTGCCAGGCATCTCCCCATTTGATCCTACTTACTTTCTCATGGTTCTTTTATATTACCCTCGTTTCAGATTAAAAATACCCATTTCCCCTATTTCATTCCTTTAATATTGCCAGCATTTTCCTCAGACCTTTCCTGGACAGCTTTCCTTCCCATCAGCTTTCCGAGGTTGCTCTGCATCCCTTTTTATTGTTTGCCTTTTTGTTTTGCAAAGGTCCAATTATTTTGCATTGTTAACTTTGGCATGTAGTCTCGAAAGCATCTCCTGATCTGATGATAATATGATCTCCAGACAATTTGTGTTCTCTGGCTTGAATCTCATTTATCATACACGGTTAATTTCCTAGGACTAAGTCCAAAATATTCATTGATCTTGTTAGAAAGCGTGTAAGGGAACTGACTTTTAATCTTTTAAGAAAATTACCCCCTTTCTAATTCTTATTCCAGTCAGCATAAATGCAGTATGCCGCATTCATTTTTCTTGCTTTTTCACGTTTCCCTGGCTCACATAAGCGTTTCTCGGTCGGCTTTTGCTCTGGGTATGGAAGGTCTTTAGTTAATGTTGTTTTAATCAGTCTGCAGTCTGTTGCTCTAGTTCTTGCATATCAGTGCTGGGGAGAAGCAAAGTAGGTCTCTTCTCCTTGGTTTTAGAGGTAATCTCAGCTGGCCTTCCCTTCACCTCACGCTCTCCCCCTGCTGCGCACCTGAAATGCAGCCTTGCTACAAATACAGCTGCTAAGACCCTGGGAGCTGGGAAGGGTGGGAGGCCGAGGGAAGTGCCATGCTTTAGGGCACAAGCTGGTCTTCCTTGCAGGGGTCAGGAAGGAATTTCTTTCTTTGTCCTTATGTAGATGTAGCCAGCTCCGGGGCTGTTGCAGACAGGACAAACGGTCTCCGCAGAGCTATCCTGGGAGTGGGAAGGAGAGGGAGTGAGAAGCAGAGACCCAGAGAGGAGAAGGGACTGGGCAGAGATGGGGAGAGGCACGGTGGGCACGGGCTGCAGCAGCAGGTGCAGGGCTGGGAGGGGGAAGGTTTGCTGCAGAGAGGACGTGCTGTCCTCTGTCTCTCTGCTCGGGCAATCTGGCAACTGGGGCAAACGTGGTCAGAGACGGTGCAGATCAGAGGCTGCCTGCACCCAGATCTCATTCAGCCGGGATGCTCCTATAAATGTCAGGCTGCATTTCACTGCCCAGCCATGCTTCCCCGCAAGGCTGCGGGGTGACCTGGGCCCTGGCAGGGCTGAGGGCAAGCATGCAGGAGCCAAGGAACCACAGAGGAGCTGGCACTGCTATTTCTCCGAGGCAAGTTGTTGATTCCCCCCAATTTTGGGGTGCACAGCGGAGTGCTGCATAATCCCTCCAGAGCGGTCCTCACTCCTCTCTGGTCCCGGGCTGCTCGCACAATGCAGCAATTGTCTCGGGAGCTGACTATAATGTTTCACTTCTCCCTTATGCTCCCTAGAGCCAGGCAAAGAGGAATGCGTGCCATGTGCCAAAGACTTACACTTGCATGAGTGGCAATGTGTCCCTGCCTGCCGGGAGGGTTTTTACCCTGAAGAGATGAACGGCATCCCTCAGAAACTCTGCAAAAGGTACAGTGCCCTCCTCTAGACCGTCCCCTTTAAACTGGCACGATGGAGTTCACTGTGATCCAGCCTTAAGAGCTAACTGAATAAAGCCATGATGGGTGCGGAGCCGCGATGAGCCATTTCACAGGGAACACGGATCAAAATCTAGGAAAGAGCTTGCAGATGAAGTTGTTTAATGGACCAGCTAGGAGAAGTTCAACATGCCCTGAGTCCTGTTGAATCACATGGCCTTCACCTCAAGGGAAACTAGTGGAAAGAGTCCAGGTGCACAAGCTGGGCATGTTGCCTGGGGACCAGACAATCGTGGGTTTTAGTCCCTCACCAGACCGGGGCTGATGGGCAACACTGGTCCTGCGGTACAGACACAGGACTGAAAGTGGCTTCCTGGGCCATTGAGGCCCAGCCCATGCACTCACATGTAATCATTTCCCTGAGGAAAGCCTAGACTCGCTGCTTCCATTCCTAACACACACACCAACACGGCAGAAAGCCAGAAACACCAGGAATACTCTAGCCTGGCCAAGCCAAACCCAGGGGAAGAGGTGGCACTCTCAGGGTCCTGCCCCTGCAAGAGCAGGGAACTAGCTAGTGAAAGATTTGGCTGGGGTCATGTAGTGAGTCGGCTTCAGAGCTAGACCTAGAGCTCAGACCTTGTATTCCTGCCTGGTGAATCAAGTCTGATACAGGATGATGCTGGGTTTAGGTGACGGGAAGACACAGAGTGCAGGGTTTGCTGCCAAGTGCAGTTAGATGGGCTCCGTGCACCATCACCTTCGATAATACACCACCCGGTTCCTGTGTAGCACTTTTCAGCTGGGCTATGCTGGCTATCCAGAGTCAGTATTATTATGACACTAGTCCAGCCAGCGAACATTAGAACATCTTTAGGAGAAGGCGGGCGCGTCTACACATGCCATTAGTGCCCAGCAATAAACTGCGGAGTTTATTGCTCCACAGTTTATTGCTCTTAGGAAGCTCCCAGGAGCACAGTTTACACGTGAGCCCACGCTCTAGCACAACTGAGTGAGATTGCAGCAGCCCCGGCTGGTAGGAGGGCTGGGGGGTCAGCCTGCCAGCCTGGAGCTGCTCCGACCAGGCTCATTGTGCTGCAGAGGAGCTGGCTGGGGCACGAGGGTGCTCTAGTGTGGAGCTAGCCAGCAGGCAGCCCCCGTGCCCCAACCAGCCAGCTCAGCAGTTACAAGTCCTACCCTGCTGGGGAGTTATGAGTTTCCTGTGTCCTTTTAGGGGCACACGTGTAGATGCTGACACATTAATTAGTCAACTGCACAGTAAATGTCTCATGTAAATGTGCCCAGTCAGTATAATTATCTTGAGCTTAAAGACGGAGAAGCCGAGCTAAAGAGAAGAGAGGAGGAGTTGTTCTGAGGATAGTTTGTAAGTGGAAGTTGCTGCTATAACCCTCACCACTGACTTCAGACCCATGCAGTTCAGAAGCCAAAACTCCTCCTTCACCAAGGCGGTCTTATATGAGATATTTTCCATAGTAAACAAGCCTGGATCCAAACAGTTTAGGGTCCTCCCTCCAGACAATTCCCTGTCCCTTTCTTGTTGCTGTCCCTTTGAAGTACAGAGTGCTTCAAGTGACTGTATTGCCGGGGAGTCAACATCTGGAGTGAGTCAACATCTGGGGTGGGTCTGTGGGATAACTAGTGCAGTCTCATTGCCTGCACATTGGAGGAACCCCTTGTAAGAGTCAGAAGGCTGCTGCAGTACCCCCCTTTGTGCTGGCCAAGGTGACACTCTGAGGTGGGGGGATATCTGTCCATTAAAAACTGAGCAGGGACCCACCAAAGCCATTTTTGGTAGGAGAGGGGGATTCGTAGAACCGCTGCTTCAAAGCCAGACACACACTTGCAAGCCAGAAACCCTCGGTAACGTGCCTTAGGTGAAAGCAGGGAAACAAAGGCACCTCTGCCCATAAACGAATGTGAAGCAGGTGGAAGACTCCAGTCTCCAGCCCAGGGTCTTATTCTCTTTCTCATCTGTTCAAGTCTCCCACCGAGAGAGGAGCACGTTCAGTGTACATGCAAAGGGATACAGATCTGTTGTCTTCCATGGCTGAATTCTGCCTGGACGCTGAAGCGTCCCTAAGCACGTTATCAGAGATGTCCGGCAGCCTGACATGCTGGACTGGGCGAGCTGTGGTCCCAGTGCTGACTGGGATCGTGTGTGTGTGTCTCTGTCAGGTGTGACAGCAGCTGCTCAGTCTGTGAAGGTTCGGTGGGGAACTGTGTCAAGTGTAAGGAAGGTTTCAGCCTGCTCCGGGGTTCATGCGTGACCAATGAAACCTGCATCAATGGTACGTACTTGCCTGCTAACCCAAGATAATAGATCCTGGGCTCCAACTCAAGCCCCAGTAGCACAAATGAGGTTTAAAGCTGCCTTCAAGGGGAATGTGGGGTTCCCCTGTCCTGGCATCAGGGGTCCCTCAGGAGGGTCAGCACTGTGTATCCCACTCCACCATCTCCTGCCTCTCGGGGCATGGCCGGAGCAGGCTGCACTCTGGTTACGCAGAGAGTGGAGCTGTGGCTGCTCTAATATGTCCTGTCTTGGCATCTTCTTGCCTTGCTGTCCCTCCCCATACCTTGGTAGAGCTGAGAATTGAGTGTGTACTCTGTTGAGCAGGGCCTTTCCCCGTCTATGGGTCTGCAAAGTACCTCGGATATGTCAGGGCTAAAAAGGTACTAGATGACGCTGTTGATGACAATAAGCTTTTCTGGAATTCAAATGAAACAGGATTTGGAATCAAATCAGAGAGGATATGAAAAAAAAAGTGTAGGGACCGTGGGAAGGGTCTTCAGGTGGATCTTTCCAAATTAACTGCATTTTGAATCCTCTTACTGTCTTCAACAAAAAGCTCCCGACCCTTGTTTCTCTCCTCACAACAGAAACAGGGTTAATATAATTGCTTCGGATGCCGTGATTTCATATTTGTGGGATGACCTACTAGAATGAAGTCAAGTTGCAGAATTATTGACCTGAACATTTTTCGGCGAATAGCACTGTAACTTCTCCCATCATGGCATCTGCCTGATGACTGCAGTAGAAACAAAGGTCACCAGGCAAGGCTGATAAGTGTTTGCTTATAGCTCGGGTACACACAAGGGGTTGCATTTCATTATATCTTCTATTTGGGCTAATTATCCCATCATCGCAAGCTTTCTTCGTTCCTTCACTAAAAACCAGTGAAGGTTCTCTTAAAAAGTGACTTATTTTCCATTCTCTCGCCTCCAACAAGGGGGTGAATTGCACTGCTAACTGCAGGAGAGAGTTAATTTGTTTTGAAAGTTAATCTGTTTCCTCGTTTTCTCTTCTTGTGCACCATGGCCCCGCAGCTGACAAGAATTTCTGCGAGGTGGGGAAATCCAGCAAGCTCTGCGAGAAGAAGCTGTTTGTACTGTTTTGCTGTCAGACGTGTCTCATGGCTGGATAGAGCTCAGCGTCTGCCTCCAGGAGCTCCTCCGTCCTGCAAGTCCAGTTTTGCCAAACCTTGAGGACTAAAGTTTATTTTTACAGCTTGGGCAGAGTTTACAGGGTACCATCCAGCATCCGCTCCTGAGTTTGACAGCTTTAATATCACTGTCCATTGGTTTCTATAGCAATATGTGTAGTAGCTTCTGGTCTGGGTAAGATCATGTTCTTAATCATTAAGTCTTAAAGGATACTAAACAAATGGTGATATTAATACTCTCAAACACTTCTTATGAATGGGGACTGATGTGGGATCCGGATGCGGAGGCCTGCTTCTTAGCAAAAGTGCGTCTGATTCAGCCTTTCCGAGTGTATGGCAGGAGCTCACAGCTCGAAGGACACAGGTTTCTGTAGCTCAGAGAAGGAGAAGCCATTTTTGGTTCAATACTCTTATGCTAGCTCACACCTGATATAAGTCCTCATTGCAATATTTTTATGCTCTGTACAGATGTAAAGTGATGAATTGGGTAATCTGCTAGATCAAAGCTCTAAAGCAAACTTATTTGAGCTACTCTTTGGTTCCAGTTGCTGTTTGTTTTTGTCCAGCCATAGATTTAGCTGTAAGTAGAGAGTGGAGCACCAAACTCAGAGCTGGAATGAGTGGATGAGTGCATCTGACCTGCTCACCCCTGGTCTGAAGTTAGCCCAGAGTGTCCTCGGCCATGCAGTATTCCCTGCAGCAAACCCAGGCACCTGCTCAGAGGGACTGTAAGCAGGCACCCACCTGAACTAGCGTGGGGTCACTGGATACATGTTTTCTTCCAAAATCGCAGGCAAGTCATTGCCAGAGTCAGTTTTAATCGGTGAAACAAGCTAGATCTTTCCCATCTTGCTAAATGAGATGTTTCTTCCTATTTGTATCCACCTGCATTTCATATCACAGCCTCTTCCATATGCCAACACTTTGCTGGGCTCACACATCTCTCCGGTCAAGTCCTCCCTGGATTGACAGCAGGATGACTTTCTTAGGCATCCATTTCCCAGAAAGACATTGCAATGGTCCAGCCAAGAAATGCTCTGATTATACAGAATGGGTCCGTAAACTTGATCAGAATCTGTTTGCTCCATCTCTGACTAGTACGTCACACCATGTTTATATAATTATGTTTAAAATATATTGGGATACTTTGTTTTAAAGAGGGTTTTTTTTAAATAATTTATACAGTCATTGGTTTCTCCATACACTATTTTTTATGGGGAGCAGGGAATCTTTTACATGTCTCTCATCCTTCCTCTCTTTTGTGACTGCTATGTCAGACCTTCCAGATAAGTGCTTTTCACCAGGTATACGTAAACGGTACATCTTATGTTGCATGTTCTTTCATTGTTAATAGTCCAAACAAGTTAAATCTTTTGCCAGCAAAATTCACAGTAAAGACATAGTCTGTTCTTTATGAAGTGAGAATAATCCTTTTTTTTTATAATTCCAATTATTTGCATTCTGCCTTGGCTTGTCCACTAAACCTTACCTCAAGCCAGTGAACCGGTGAGAACTAAACTATCCGTGTCCCTAAAACAGAATGGATCCATCACCAGATAAAGGCAAAGCTTCTAAGAACTGGCCGTTCCATTAATAAAATATTTACAGCCCCAGACAAGTGAGTCTGTCCTCTTTCATGGCACCAAAGTCACTGGAGGTTTATATATTTTTTTTTTTTTGCCATCCAGACCAGAGCTAAATCAAGGGTGTGATATTTCTGTGATATTCTTGTATGTTGCTGCACAAAGAAACTGGACTGCTTGAGGTCAAAAGCTGGTTCTGTAAGAGAGGTCATCTACTGAGAAATGCACTGCAGGGATGCAAACCCACTCTCAAATACCCTGTTTGCATATATTTCCTTTCATCTGGAGGTTCACAAATTGCTTTGCAACCCATCGTATGAACCTGACATGGCATGGCAGCTGGCCGGTCATGCTGGGGAGAATTTAGGTAGGCAGAGCGAAGCTACCAAGGCTGCAGTTTGACCAGGATGTGGACATGAATGCCGCTGCTCCTATGAAAAGTGCCTTGTGACCTTTATTGAACACAAGTGCTCAGGACTTTCTGGAAGCTATAGGGGAAGAGGGGCAGGGAACAGATCTGAATAAATCCTGTATAGATACTCTTCCCCTTAGCATCTGCTCTCTGATTACTGGGCTGGGTGGACCCAGTACTCTGTATCTCCTGTGAGCTCAGCAAGCCTGGCAGTTCTGACTGGGTTCACACCTGAAAGATGGCATCTCCAGCAGTATACGTTGCTCCTTAGTATCATGCTGCGTCATTGTTTCAGAGAGAAAACGGGGCACCAGCAATGTTCCCTGCTGCACCTCGGCCTCCTTTGCTCCCCATCCGGGCACCTTATTTTGTGAGAGATGTTGGGATCACAGTGCATGGCGCCTGCAACTGTGAACAAAAGGGAAGTAAAAGTATTACGCTATCGTTGCAATCAGATGCCCTCCTGCTACGATCTACCCCATGAGAAGGAGATGGATGGTAGTCTTTAGCTGGGATAGTCCAGATGTAGTGTGGCTGTAGGGGTAGTTACCGCACAGCAGATGACACATGCGAAAGCCCCACCTCATTTTCCTCCACGCTAAATTGTTCATACACCAGTCACCCTTCTGGCTGACTTCGATAGGACCGGGATGTATAAACAAGACCGAGAGAGCTACTGGCAGGCTGGAGGGATCCCTGGATAGCATCCAGTTTTGTTAACCTATTGTGGGCCTGGCTGCCTTTCTTCTTTCTTCTCTAAAGCTGTTAGGAAGGGCAGACAGGGAGAACAATTTATGTCCAGCTTTGGCTGAATATGTTTGTTTTGTCCTTTTTAATTATGGGCTTGGTGCCCAGAGCACAGCGTGAATTTCTTGAGCTGTATTTTATAAATTTGAAGGAACTAACAAATTAGCACTTGCAGAAAGGGAAGTGGCCTTCTCAGCAGCGTGCTGTGGTGTGTTCACAGACAGTTATCCACACCGGTGACACAATTTGCTGTGTATTTCTCACGTATGTTGTAGTTGTGCACTCGGTTATTGTGTAGTTTTCTGTTGTTGCTGTGTCACATATAGGAGGCATTGGGAGAAAGTAACCTGTGGATCAAGGGCACCTGATGAGCTTGAGCTTTAAGTGTTCTGGCTTATGTTGGCTGAATCTCAGCATGGGCTGTTTCTGTAGTCAGATCCGTTGTGTTGCTCAAAAGATGCTTAGCCTGAGGCCTCCATGACACAACTGAAAAATGCAGCTTGGTTAAGATAACCCGGCACCAGAACCCCAGGCGTATTAAAGACTCGAGTCCTGCCTCCCACTTGAACAGATCTCTGCCCTTGCAAATATGACCCAATTTCAAACGTCTGAACAAAGGGCTCAAATTGTACTTTCTTCGACTTCTCTGACGATTAGCTTCTGGGGGGTCTGTGTAGTGTAAATGAGGATGCGGGGAGGGCGGTGATAACGGTACAGTTTTTTTTCCCTTTCCCCCAAAAATCATTTTTGGAAAGTAATAAAATTCAGATTTATCCAAGCTATTGCAATTGCTTGCTCAGAGCTATTACAGTCTCTGAGACACGGGTGTGCTCAGAGGATCAAAGTGGCTCTGTTGTCAAGATAAATGCATATTTAGGCAATTTATTAAAGCGCATTTCTCTCTGGTCTCTTGGCACCAATGACAAATCTATAATAGCTGTTTTCTGGAAAATCTTCTTAAAGCTGCCTAACCCATCTTGTGCCTTTGGGATATAAGGTTATGTGCACAGCCAGTTGGCACGCTGTGGCTATGAGATGCGGGGTGGTTGCTACAAGCAAGTGCTTTGACTTTACAGGGCAAAGGAGTGGTTCTTAAACGCTGTCTTTTATAGTGGACCTTAAACTTGGTGGCACATAGTGTAACCCCCATCCTGTTGGTAATAACAGAACAGAACTATATTCTGCTAAATATATGTTCTACCCAGACCCTTCAGATGCAGCCCCTGTCTCCCAGGAGTTTGGAAAGTATCACCTTATCAGGGTCCACTTAGTTTTTCTGACCAAATCTGACTTCAAGCCAGCATTTGCTATGCTGCTACATGAGTCCCTGAAGCCAGTTATGGTCCTGGAATTAAACCTTTCCATGTGTAAGTATCCCCCTCTCTCACTCCTACCTGAATGAAACGTGGAGGTTTGCACATACCTGTCCTTACTAAATGACTGCATGCTGGTATTTTAGATGTATTGCCCCAATCATAAAGACTTAATTTTTTAAATAAAACAGCCCAGTTAGCACCCAGCTACAACCTGCATCCAACAGTCATCCCCATCCCCTGATGCCGGGACCACTGTAAGAAGGTGTAACCAACTGGTTGGATTGTCATTCAGAGAAAGTCCGTTGACAAACCATCCAGGTTCCCTCAGGACTTGATGTTGCCAAAACCTCTCAGGGAAAGTGTGTCAGCATTAATGCGCCACGCGGCATGGCTTTATACTCCATGCTTGGAGTGTTAGAAAACTTTTTTGGACCGCACAAATATTACAGTTGGCTAAGTTCTCACGGAGGCAGTTAGTTCAGGACAGAGAGGTGCATCCAGAAGTCAAGGTCATTCTACCCGTTCTACTCAAAGTCCACAGGGCAGTTGCGTTGTTTTTCCTGGGCCGTGCGAACAGCGCATCGCTGACATTTGGCAGGGTGTTGGCATGCTGGGGCCTGCTGTGGCTTTGGCATCTAATCTCTGCTTCCCTGGTGTGCTGCCAACCCCCAAAAATGTCTCCTAATCAACATGTCATCCACATTGTGGTTAGGGTGCCAAAGCCTGTCAACAAATCGGAATGCCGTGGCCAAGACAGACAGATATTAATGGTGTCTTGGAGGGGCAGAGAGTACTCCTTACCATCTGCACATATGTCTGGATTGTCACAGGATTGCTCATACTCATTACCTCCTTCCCCACATCAAGTGCCATTGACACAGTGTCATTCCCACTAAAAGTCTTTGACTTTCCATCTTGCCTCTGTCCCAGCGGGCAGATTTGCTGCCCAATTCTGCTTGCAGTGCTGTAGACTTCACTCCCTTTGAAATCAGCCAAACTTGCCCGTGATGGTGAAGCGCAGCAGTACTTGTCTCACAAACAGGGTGAGCTCATTCGCATGTGCTCTGAATGGGAAAGGCCTCTTCTTGCAGTCAAGGTTCTTTGGGTAAATCTGATATTTTTTATTAGACCAACTCTGATAGTTGGAAAAATTCTTCTTTGCAAACTTTCGGGTATAAATACCCTTCATCGGGCTAAGGAAGCATCTGCAGTTGGTGTGTGCTGTTCCTGGATGGAACATCAAACTTCTTGCAGTGGTGTCGTTCTGAAGTGGCCTGTTTTACCCGATCAGTTCCCACGGATTTGTGTTGATGTTGCTGGAACTATGAATAAAAGAGTCAGGCTGTCCACCCCGGGGGCCTGGGAGTGCTGCTTGAGGGATGAGAAGACAGTGGAGAATGATCACAAATGAAAGTGTCCCCTGTGTGCAGGTGTGTGAGGAGGAGTAGACATGGAAGGATACCAGCAGAGTGTGAAGGTCTCTGTTGGCAGCATCCTTTGGAGATCACTGCCAGCTGGTGTAAGTGAGAGCAGCCCCATGACTTTCACTGGAGCCCCAGAGCCTGGCTGGGCTGTGCAAAATGGCACCGTTCCACTTGGACTTGTGTTTTGATGTTTCCATGGAACAGCGTTTCGTTTTGGATTTCATTTTGAAACTGCTGTTTCATTTCGTTTCATTGAAACAGTTCCGCTGTTTCAATGCTGTTTCGCCGTTTCGCCCATAGACTGTAACGGGGAAGCTTGAAACAGCCTACAACTTTGTCATTTCTGGCCTGATTTGGATGTAACTTGCAGGGATGATAGCCCCTTCTGCAGGCACGAAGCCTGCCAAGTTCCAAGGAGATAAGTGCAGGGGTTCAAGGAAACTGCACCTCAAAGTCTTGAAAGCAAAACTCATGTCATGTGTATGTGTTAAGGCACAGGGGGTCAAAACTGCAGGCGTGCTAGCCCATGCTGAGGCCAGCTTTCAAGGAGACAGGTGCAGGGGTTTGGCGGAAACTGCAACTCAAGCTGCTGACAAGTAAAATTTGTGACATGGGTGCCACTGTGTGTGTTAAGGAACAGCAGGGTGAAAGCTGTAGGCCTCCTAGGCCCTGCTGAGGCCATGAAGCCTGCCAGCTGTCCAGGAGATCGGTGCAGGGCTTCTGGGTTCTGGGGCCCTGCACCCCTAGCTGCTGACAGGCAAAACTCGGGACATGGGTGGGTGACACTGTGTGTGTGTTAAGGTACACCCTCACTCAGCTGACACCAAGGCAGAAAGCAGAGCAGGTCAAACAATGCTGCCTTTTATGCAGTTTTTCCATCCCTCCCCCAGAGCACTGGGATTGGAAGAGATCTCAGGGAAGGATGACAGTCACTGGCCAGCTACACAGTCAATAATGAGAGCAGTCCTTTCCACCCCCTTGCCCTCTCTTCCCCCTCCCTCTCCTTACTTTAGTTTCTGTTTCCCTGCAGGCAAGCCCAGCTTGAGCTTTGAAACTTGAAACATTTAGAAAATTTCAAAACATTTCAACTTGCCTCGTTTTGTTTCGAGGCTGTTTCGAAGCTCTGT